CGACTTGGCGGCGGCGGAACAGGGTGACACATGGTTACGCTGTTTGGAGAAAAGCTACGCCTGTTGCATTCTTGTTATTGCCGGATTGCTTAGTTGTCTTCTCGGATTTTCCGTTTCTTACCCGTTATCGGATTTTTAGAGAAATTGTTTCTGTCATGTTTTGGGAGATTTTCTTCAGAAGTCCCGAAAGCGGGAGGCGCTGATCGGATCGGCGCTTAGGACAAGGGACTAGTGTTGGCCTAAATTTGGCTATATTATATCTTGTCTTCTCATTGGAGGGAGAGGGTGCTGTTACACTCTAGAGCAAGGGGAAACTAGTCGAAAAACAAGCAGTGCGGGTAGTGCTAATGAGAAGATGTTTTGATACGTAGTGTCATTTCCGTAATCATATCTCCCTACCCATTAGTGCATGGTTTTAATGTCTAGAAGCTGCTTTACTCATTTGTGGTGTTGCGTGTTTTCGCGAGTTGTCAAAATCAGAGTCTGACGGCTGCTTTAAGATGTCAGTACTACTGCCTTTATCGCTCCGCACCACATGGCCGTAATCTTAGTATCCTTTTTGTCCTTTCGGGAGGGCCAAGCCACACGCTGGCTAATTGTGCTCAAACAAACTGTCACTTCCACTATACTTGTAGTTTCGGAACCTCTTTCCGAAATGCAGCATTTACATCCCCTATAGGTCCTTCTTGTTGCAAAACGTTCTTTGACCCCAGCTCCCTCTTCTCCAGGTGGCGCTCTACAGTCTCTAGTCAAAGCTGCCCATCGATGAAAACCATCTTTATATCGTAGCCCGATCATTCTTAAGTTGTTTAACGTCCTGCAGTTGAGCCCAGCAATCATGTAGAGCCTACCTAGCTAGTTCTTGACTTTTAGGCATAGGACTTTCTCCAAAGTAGATGCTTTTTCGAGTGGCAGCAACTTTTCAGGCGGAGGGTTGTGTAGTGGAAACGACCTGTCTCACCTAATACGAGCTTAGACCTCTCTCTCTTTGAATTCTGTCCAAGCCAGCTATATCTCTATCCCATCGGGGTCAGGTTATTTGTTATAAAACTCTCTGTGCTCTTGATTATTTCTGATTTTTGGCGGATAGGGGGAAAGATTTGTTAAAGCCACGGGTCAGGATTAGTCTTCCTAGAATGTTCGAAAGAAGGGTCCACAAGCGCAGGAGGCGCGACACTGATGTGGCTCAAAAGTGCCAGGCAACTGCCCTAAGGCTGTGCCTTATGTGATGCCGTGCTGCCATCCTATCAACCACGACCTAGCGTCTGCGCCCTCTCACGTACGACATGCTCTCTCGCGTTATACCTTTCCTTGCAGCGCTGTGTCTCTCCGCTTTACCACGGCCTTCCTCACAAGGGAAAGTTGATTGCTCCATGGCGTTCTTCGCCTTTTCTATCCACTAGACCTCGTCATCGCACTTAATTTTCGAACAAAATAATACACGAATTCAATCCCGATCTGCGCCCTTAAAGGTGCGGCCATATCGGTTGGCATTGCGTCTGCAAAGCTAGACACCATGTTTTCTGTGTTTGAGAAGTTATGCGAGCCTAATGGACACTTTGCATTAGGAAGCAAAGCTTATAGTCACCTTACATCACCACTAATTACGTTTTAAATTGAATAGCAGTGCTTGAATGATATCTTTTAATTGAAGATGTGAAATTTCGGTTTTTGATTTTTTAGTGCTGTTTTGGCAAACATTGCAGCAATTTGCAACATTTTCTCGTACATGTGCGCCCTCCTGTCTAACGGAGAGTAGCACCACTGGCTTTGTGGTGGCGTATCCCTACTCAAGAAAATGCAAGCTTATTTGGTGCCATTTGACCATTTGATGCACCGTCTTTGGTTTGAACTCGTTC